AAAACCCCATAAAATAGCCCTTGTGTTTAGAAGGCTAAGTTCTCTCTTTACTTAACTCAGGGGTCACCAATCTCGGTCCTGGAGGGCCGGTGTCCCTGCAGGGTTTAGCTCCAACTTGCCTCAACACACCTGCCTGGATGTTTCAAGTGTACCTAGTAAGAGCTTGATTAGCTTGTTCAGGTGTGTTTGATTAGGGTTGAAGCTAAAATCTGCAGGACACCGGCCCTCCAGGAACAAGTTTGGTGACCACTGGCTTAACTGATGAAAGTTTTGATGCGTCCAACTTTTAAATTCATCAGTGCATTGTCAGGGCATCAGTCTTGATTAGGCGATAGTAAATCTGAAATCAATTGGCTTGGTGGGAGCTTATAAAGGTTGAACGGAAGAGGTGCCAGAATTGAGCCTTGTGGGATTCCACATGTCATGGTTGACCACCTCGACCTATGGTCATCTGCCGTATACTAACACAGTAACCTCCCTTCAAGATAAGATTTGAGCCAATTGTGGACCATCTAAAGGCTATGATTGACCGTGTCAAATGCAGCACTGAGATAATACCAGCACTGTTAATTTGCCTGTATCTTTATTTAGGTGCATATTGTTTATTATCTTTATGAGAGCTGTCTGGGTGGAAATCAAATTGAAAATTGACCAAGCAATCATTCAAGCTTAGGAACTTAATCAGCTGATTAAAAACTACTTTTCAAATAGTGTTGTCAATGAAGGGAAGATCTGATATTGGTGTACAGTCGCTCAATGTGGTGTTGATCTTTGTCAGGAGGGGATTAACAATTGCTGTTTTCATTGAGTGTGGTTAAGTCCCAGAAAGAAGCGAGACATTTACCATTTCTTGTTAATCCACTTGTAAACATTATAACTCTGTCACATAAACATTTTGGGTAGTGTGATTGACGTAGATTGATGTTTTAATAATCTAAAATCTCTTCCGAGATTTTACCATCAATTGCCTTGAAATCAGAGACAATAACTGGCTGAGTTTGCCAGACATCAGCACAGTTTTACTGATTGGACAGGCTGATTGCCTTTCTAATATTTATTGAGTTCATTAGTAAAGAACTGAGCGAAATCATTTCAATTGGCTGTCAGAGAGATCACTGAATCTGACTACTGGGGTTTGTGATTCTCTCGACTGTTGTAAAGAAAATGCGAGTGTTGTTTAAGTTGCTGTTAAAAAAAAAAGGTTTGAAAAAAGTCTACATATTTTAAAATGTACTACAAGGTTTTACTCATACCACTGCCTTTATTTGTACTGGTGTTGGGGTTCTCAAAGATGCTTTTTGGCTGGCAGTCTTCTTCCTGAATTTTAACAGGGGCATCCATGACATTCCAAACTTTAGAGTTAAACAAATCAAGGAAAAAATCAACAGAGTCTGCAGATATGCTTGGCGTTAGAGATATGATCTTCTTTGCACAATACTGTTCTCATTTAGGCTTCTCTTTCTCACAGATCTATCTTCAATGGTTAAAATGATCAAACGCAGAAATGATCAGATCATTTCAACAGTGAATCAGATGTTTTGACTCTTATTATCAGGGTTAGACAGAATTTTGTGCAGCATTTGTGGACATAAAGTATGCAGAAATTCTGAATAACTTAACATAAAATAAATAATTACTTTCATTTTAGGTTTATAACCACAACCAAACTACCACTTGTTGGGTAAACAAAACAAGCAGCTCTCTTTAAGAATACACACACTAAAAGACAGGAAATATTAAACTTTACAAATTCTATTATACATACATTATCTAAACATTTTGCATGATATTCAATACTGTTGCTAAAAACTGAATGAAAATATATTTACACACAATTTCATAAGTAAAGTAAATAAAATCATGGGCTCCAAAATCTGAATTTCTGCTGGCACAGATTTCATTTTGGTCTACTGATAAGTAAATCTATGTCTGTGCGTGGGTCCCTGTACATGCTGAGTCAGGTCAAAGGTATTTAAAACAGTAATGAGTTCTTTTACAGCATTGAATTATTGAATATGAAAATCACAAGCAATATTTCAGGGGAGACTAACAGTAACTGTAAAATCATCAATTAAAGCTGGAGAATATTTTGGAGGGCTGTACATAATGATAAGTAAAATGTGCAAAGCAGCCTTTGGTGGTATACACAGAAATTCCAATGACAAATACTCACCAGATAGAACTTGCTTGTGCTGATAGACGTTATTAAATAGAGTAGTTTGCATCCACTTGTCCTTTCAGCTATACAGACTCATACTGTATAAGTAAAGTTACTATAGCCATGTTTTCATCAAGTAGAGTAGAAGTGATTTAAGAGATGTTTTAGTTTTATCCCTATACCAGTCTCTGATTTACATTTAATTGGCAGCAGAGGAATTTGGGCCATAAAACCAGATATCAAATATTATGCTAAATGTTTCTTTTTTATGCATTTATCTCCTCAAAATTACTACTGTAAAATTAGAGAGACAGTGATAGAGCCTATTCGGTGGATGGGAATGATTGGGAGGCCATGATGGGTGAGGGCCGATGAAGGAAATATGGCCAGTACACTAGGGTTACACTCCTACTCTTTACGAGAAGTGCCATGGGATTTTTGATGACCACAGAGAGTCAGGACCTTGGTTTAAGGTCATTTCCGAAAGACTGAAACTGCATCAAACTGACTGTGCAAATGCAAAATAAAGACACAATAAAATGAAAGATTAATTGAATTTTTAATTGTGTCAGTATATCAGCATTTGTCTTGTCTGTTCTTCAAAATTAACCTGCTGGTCTTCATCACTGGTTCTAATGTCCCTGTTTATCTTTTGTGAACTTCACTGACCCCAGTTTCATCCGGTGACCCTCACATGCCCAATGTCTTTAGGTGACAGTCTGTTGTTACAGTCTTCTGTTAGCTGTTGAGGAGTTTAATGGCAGAGAGAAAAAACCTAAGCTTCCCTCCCTGTCCTGTACTTCTGGCATGAGGGGTGGAGATGGATGCAGCTCTCGTGGAATCTGTCATGGCAGATGCTTTACAGAGAGGGCCAAGGAGTCCTGATGATGACCATAGAATGCAGTCTTTACCACTCTCTGCAGGTGTTTGCGGTCCATAGCAGTAGAGCTGCTGTATGTAGTGACGCAGTTGGTCAGAATAGACTCAACAATGCAGCTGTAGAAGAAGCTGTGGATCCTTGGTGGCATGCCAAGCTTTCAGTCTCCTCAGGAAATACAGATGCTGCTGAGCTTTCTTCATTAACTGTTGAGCTGTTCATATAGCCTTTTTGCATTTAATGTTTATTATTGCCATAAATCTGTTTTGCAGAAATGCAGTGTGCCAAAAGTGCAGGACTGCTGAGGAAATCAAATTATTTTACAAAGCTAAATGATACATGGGAAAATGAAATGCCCTTTATGTCCATACACTAACAGTGAATGTGGTTATTATTAATATAAGCATGACCTTATTTAATCATTTAAAAAATGACCAGAATCTTTCTTGTTTGTCAAATCAGAGACTCCTGTACTGCATTTCCAATGCAACAAGGAACATCGCCACCTTTGGTAAATGAGCAATTCCATGCAAATGTCAACTTTTCCATGAAAAAAAGAAAGTTTCTGCCTTTTTTGTACAAGCAAGTATTTTACAGTACTTGAAAAATACTCAAAAATGTTTTCAACCAATTATATTTGTTCGACCAAAGTTATACAAGTGGCAATTTCACATCCATAACGGAGAGATGTCACATCCATAGCCAAGCTTTTTCCTCATTAATGCAAAAAATGTTCAATAAAATAATATTAATCATGTTTGTACTATAGTGAGGCAACTCTTATCCTTCTGATTAGCAGTATTTCTTTTGAATTGTGCAGTTTAATTAACTGAATTTCAACAAAGTATGTTGTGTACTGTAAACTCACAGACTTATTGTGGTCACATCCATAACGCATGTTTATTTTCCTCATTTAAAGTATATATTTTTTTACAGATTTATATTTTTCTGATACCATAATTCTGGTATTAGTTGTTTTAGAAAATATAAACGGATGTTTCAATATAATGTTAACATGCTTTTTAAATGTTTTGAATTTTTATTGCAAGTGTCACATCTATAATGCTGGAATTGCTTTAATATGATGAGAATATTTATCTTATAAAACTGTGATGGGGCCTGGTGTCATTACAAAAGATTGTCCATCCTTTATATTTTCTGGTCTATGTTGATCATTTAATTTTTTACATAATTTTCTATAAGGTTTCAGTCTGCAGACTGGGATAGGCATATTCATTTATTCATTCATTCATTCATTTTCTTGTCGGCTTAGTCCCTTTATTGATCCGGGGTCGCCACAGCGGAATGAACCACAAACCTATCCAACAAGTTTTTACGCAGCGGATGCCCTTCCAGCCGCAACCCATCTCTGGGAAAAGGGATAGGCATAGCAAAACTTTATTTTTATGACCCACATTAGTTTTTAGTGTTTGTTTTGGATCATTGTCTCAATACGGAATACTTCTTATATTATTTGAGAATAAAATGGCACATCTGAACAACTAACTAGTACTTTAATCACAAAATAAAGTCTGTCAAAAATACTCAGATGTAGGCTAATGGTATTTGTGTTTTAAATACACTTAATTGAGCAGGTCCTGAGCAAGCTAATGGCCTCAAAATATAAAGAATATATATTTTTGTATTTAATTGATAATGATTATCAAGACTAGAACAGTAACAAAGAACGACAAAAATAAAACATACATCATAAACAATATGAACAGTTAAAACACATTCTGATAAACCAGAGGAGAAAGAAAAACAGATAGGCCTGAGAAAAAAACTAATGAACTACAAAATATTTTTTTGTAACGTCTAGCATAGACAAATTAAAGGAATTAATCACAAATTTGTATTAATAATAAAAAGGCGAATTTATCGCCAGAAGATGGCAGCAGATCACTGCAAAATACCAGTGTCAGTCAACAACAGCAGGAAAAGTCTCGCGAGGAAGGACGCGGTGTGGGTGTAAAGATGGCGGCCTCCTTGGTCAGATTTGTCCGCAGCGGATTTGGCAGAAGCTTAAACGGTAAGAAACAAAATGGGCAGTGCTGACCAGTTCAATATGAATTATAACTTATTTCACAGTTATTGTCACCATGCATGACGCACAGTCCACTCTCCAGTGGTTCAGACATGTCTTCGCGGATGACCTTTCCTTTTGCTGCTAGCAGACATTACAAACACACTGAACAGTACTAACACTGTCGACACATATACTATAATAACATGCTTTAATCACAACAAAGCGTCTTCTATTCGGAATTAGACAATTCTGCTGCCATTTATTGTTGCTTTGTAAATGCAGCAGTGTCATTATTCGTTTTCAATTTGACCGGACACAAGCTAACGTTATTGATTGGGATTATTCGGGAATTAATCTGAATTTGACACTGTAACTGTTTATGCAATCCATTAATTTCTTCTAATCTCTCACATAGTTGCCAGACAGAGCGCTGCGATTGTCCAGACGAGATCAACAACAACTGAGAGCAGGCGTGAGTAGATTTGTGGAGATCTGTCATTGTTCACGGAGCTGTCACTGCTTTGTCATGATTAACGTTAAATGTCTTTTTTGCTTTAGCTACTGTAAGGCCCAAGGATCCAGTCACCCACTCCCAGCTTTCAGAGTTTGGAGAATACGTCGCAGAGATTCTCCCCAAATATGTGCAGCAAGTTCAGGTCAGTAACGCCCCTGATTTACTTAGCAGATGTTGTGGTTGAGCGAAAACTGTTCTCTCATTTAGAGCCTGTTTTAATTCTAGGTGACCTGCTTTAATGAGCTGGAGATCATGGTCCACCCAGAAGGTATTATTCCTGTTCTCACCTTCTTGAAGGATCACACAAATGCTCAGTTCCGCAATCTGGCTGATCTGACAGCTGTGGACATCCCTTCAAAGCAGAACCGCTTTGAGGTAAACTTGCTCAGTCTGAACCGAGAAGTGTCAATATATATTAGGTTTTATTTGCATGTTGATTTGGTGTTGTTTGTAAATAGAATTTTAGGAGGCCACTTCAAAGTTATTATTGGTTAGTACTGGGGCTGCACAGTATTGGACAAATCTGACATCGCGATAGTTTATTTTGTTGTGATATGAATATAAAGGGACTAAGCCGACAAGAAAATGAATGAATGAATGAATATAAATTCACTAGATGATTTAAATGGCTCTATTGGTAAAGAATAGAGGTTGAAAGGGGTGATCAAGTATTTTTAAAAGCTAACTTAGCAAAAATAAAAGGTAAAAAAACAGTGCTTTATGGGTTTTAGACTTGCAGTATTCCAATGCAGAAATTTAAATGCAATCAAATGTAAAATAACATGCTCATCATTGTGTAGTAATTGTATTCAACAATATAAAATAAAGTGTAATAATAGCATTCATTAATTTTCTTTTCGACTTAGTCCCTTTATTAATCTGGGGTCTCCACAACAGAATGAACCACCAACTTATCAAGCATATGCTTTATGCAGCAAATGCTCTTCCAGCTGCAACCAATCACTGGGAAACACCTATACACTCTCATTCAAACACATACACTATGGACAATTTTAGCTTACCCAATTCACCTATACCTTATTTCTTTGGACTTGTGGGGGAAACCGGAGCACCCGGAAAAAAGCCACGCGAACACGGGAAACATGCAAACTCCTCACAGAAATGCCAACTGACTGACAACTCGAACCAGCAACCTTCTTGCTGTGAGGCGATTGTGCTATCCACTGCGCAATCTTTATTAAACAATTTAATTTTGCAATGTGAATATTGTAGATATACATTTTGCGATATCGATACTCAAATGATATATTGTTCAGCTCTAGCTTGTACTGGTTTTGCCATTTAAGAGGCACATTTGTTGAGTAAAACATTGATTTATATTTTGTTTCATTATTTCCGCTAAATTGTCCTCAAATGTTAAAATAATAATATTAAAATGTTATTTGTTAGTATTAATATGACATATGCTATGTATATTCCATACTTGCATCTTATTTGAATGCAAACAAGAACACTAAATAATAATTTTATGATGCATTTTTAAGCATGTTTTATGTTGGTTATGTGGGAATATTAATTTATATTACAAAGTAATGCAAACTTGTTTTCTCTTTTCTGTCAACTGGTCAGAAGTTTCTGTCTCCAGAACATCATTTTGCACACTGTCTTCTGCCTTTGTTTTTGGGTGAAACTTTCAGGTCCAAATAAAACCTTTTATGTGGTCAGTAGCTGGGCAGGTTTCTAATATGTTGTCATTCACTCTGCAGACTTACATGCTGATGACATCAGGCATATTACCCTGCCGACAACAACACTTCATTTGCATCTGTCCCCACCTAAATGAATCATTGTCTGTAAAATGTATAAAAACTTGCTGTGCAGTAGAGAGTTTTCTTTCGATGACGCCACAGCGAGGCTGAGTTCCTATTAAAAGGATGCTGCTTTAAAGATTTTGAAAGTTCTCCCTGGTTTATTGGGCTCGTCTTAGAAGTTCACAACAGTTAATAAATAAACATTTAAATCGAAGCACAAACTTTCTAATTGAAAACCCAAAAAGCTGGTGCCTTTGAAATCATGTCCTAATTTTAAGATTTAGATTCTTTAACGATGTATATTAATTCAAGTTAATACGCAAAATATGCGTACCTTGGCAGTCTGGATTGGGAAAAGAGAAATGCATATCCATTTAACAGAACATGTTTAAACCTGATCTGCAATGGACTGATAATCATTTTTTTCCTTTTCAGATTGTGTACAATCTGCTGTCCTTGCATTATAACTCTCGTATCCGAGTAAAGACCTACACGGATGAGCTGACTCCTCTTGACTCCTCTGTGCCTGTGTTCCAGGCGTCTAACTGGTATGAGAGAGAGGTATGTGTCTCAGTGTAATGAGGTTTTATAAGCAGGTTTGATTATGTACAATGAAAAAATATGTATTAACATGCTTCAACACAGGTTGCAGACAAAATGCAGTGGAGCCCCTGAGTTCATGCATCTTTGCTTGATGTGATGTCTGTTTTTCTTCTAGTTTTTTATAGAGGCATTCTTGTTTAATTCGGAAATGTATTTTTCATTACAGGTTTGGGACATGTTTGGAGTTTTCTTCACAAACCATCCAGATCTGAGACGCATCTTGACAGATTATGGATTTGAAGGCCATCCATTCAGGAAAGATTTCCCGTTATCTGGATATGTGGAGGTAAACGCATTGAATATTAGGCTCTGCCTCTACCTGGTATGACCATGATTTTAGGGATCAAATAGCAAGTGGTTAACAAATGCGTTTATATTTAGGTTTTGTGACAACTTGTGTAGATTTTATCAAAAGTCTTTCCCCATCTCTTTTACTGGAGCACTGAATAAATGATTTTCCCAGTGATGGGTTGCAGCTGGAAGGGCACCGCTGCATAAAACATATGCTGGATAAGTTGGTGGTTCATTCCGCTGTGATGACCCCTGGTAAATAAAGGAAATAAGCCGAAAAAGAAAAGGACTGAATGAATGATCCAACTCATTGAGTTACTCATTACACCGCTTATGAGTGAGCAGGAAAGCAAACTAGTATAAAAGGATGTGAATGGCATTTTGATTCTAATCCTTGTGTTTGGTAGACCAGGCAGGTTTGTTTATATAGCACATGTCATGCATAATGGTAATTCAAAGCACTTTACATAAACACTATACATTGCAGCGCAGTATGAATATATTGTTTTGCCTGCCATTCTCAAACTGATATGCCATTATGATGTCTTGTCAGGTCAGTGAGAGGAGATGTTTGAATGTTTTCAAGCACATGATTGTTTGCCATTTGAAAGCAATCAGATTGAATGTATTTCTGACTACCTCTGAAGTGTTCAAATGTGGAAATGATGTCTCTGCTTTTCCACTCTATATTGATTTCTGTTTCAATATAAATGCTGTTGCACTTTTTACATGCCCAAAATTAATTTAAGACTGAAATATTGTATATTTTAAGTTACCCCAACATCATAAAGGCAAAAGAATGTTTTTTTCCGAGTCTGATGATGTTTATGATGTGTTTATTGAGCACCAAATGAGCATTTGTGAGAAGAAGCCAGTTACGTCACTGCAGCAGTGCTAACAAGTGATGAAAAACAAGTGTCATCCATTGAACAAAGAACAATTGTTTTCTGGTGCCTTCGGATGTCAGAACTGGAAGGCAATAAAAGATGGTCTTATTTCTCATTTTATTGGCTATCTCTATTAAAGATGCCCTGTGAAGATAAACACGGGTGTTTCTGCCATTAAACTGGACATGGAAATAATATAGAGTAAGCCTCATACTCATTGTCATGTATATCCTAATGGAAAAACAGGCAAAAATCAGAACAAAACACTGACTCTGTCACTCAGGATCATTAATATGAACTCCCCCAAGTAGTGTTTGATTTGCTACAACATATTCTACTGAGATTACAACAGTATGTGAAAGAGAGAGAGAGCAGATACAGACACAAGCTGCAAAGCATCAGAGCAGAGCTCAATGTTCACAACCATCCCAAATATGGTCAAAACTGAGCTATTTATCCTAGAGGTAATTCCTCTGGTTATAAATGAGGATATAAAACTTTTTCTAAAGAATCTTTAAACTTGCCTAAGCCTCAAACCTACCACCAGAAACAATTTCGATTCAATGGACGCAATGAAATTTTATAAACAATAGTGCTACATGTTGCTGCCAGTTGTGTAGTGGTTAGTGCAACGACACATGCACTTTGGTGCTCACGGCGTCCTAAGTTCGATTCCCGCCTCGTTCGATTCGATTCCTCCCCATGCTTTTCTTTCAAAACTTTCTACTGTCCTATACATTAAAGGTAAAGAGCCAGAAAAAAAATTATATACATAAAAAAACAATAGTGCTACATAATATTCCTATATGCAGTTCATAGAGGGCATTGTATATCAGCATTAAAGCATTACCTTATTTCATGGTTGTTTGACTTGTGAATAATAGCTCACATCTAGCTGTGTTTGTGTTTTTGCTTCTAGCTGGTGGTCCGTAATACACTAAAATCCTTTGACAAATATTGATATTTAATGTAAAAGCAAAGTACAGCATGTTTTTGATGCTGTCTGATGGCGACTGCTGAACTGTCAAATTTTGCCAATTTATAGACCCAGCTAACAAAGTGCATCATCTCTGCTTACAAACACCGGATTGCTCTGTTGGAATAATTTCTGAAGAATGTCGCACTAAAGAATAGAGTATTTGCCGTAAATGGCATTTTAATACAGAGCTAGATGTATTACTATATTTTGATCTGATAAATGCAGCCTCAGTAAGCAGAAGACTGATTTTAAAAGAAAATCCAAATCTCAAAGTTTGAAACCATCTTAAAGGCTAGAGCACAGGTGTATTAATCTCTGTTGTTTTCCAGGTGCGCTATGATGATGAAGTGAAGCGGGTTGTGGCAGAACCTGTGGAGCTGGCTCAGGAGTTCCGTAAGTTTGACTTGAACAGTCCATGGGAAGCATTTCCTGCATACCGGGAGCCTAAAGAAGCACCCAAGCTGGAGTCTGGGGATAAATCAGAAAAATAAACCTCTATGTGCTGTGACGCTGGAGAGCTGTCATCATACCCTCAGATTAATCCTCTGAACATTATTTATGTAAATAAACATTGTGCTACATCTAAATAAAACATTGAAAATAACTGCTTATCTTTCTCATTTCTCAATTGTGTTATTACAAGAGAAGTGCAATATTTGTTTATTATTATAAGTAAATACTTAACTATACACAAAAGGACAGACACAAATATGTGTGTTTTTCAGAATGGTAATTGTATAATGCTATCCAATACATTCTACAGTTTTAAGACTTAAAATTGAGCTGATTCACCATAAAATGAAAATGTCCACTCTATTTACTTAGCCTCAAGTGGTTCCAGACTATTGAGATTCTTTATTCTGTTGAACACAAAAGAAGATATTTTAAAGACAGCCGGAAACTGGTAACCACTGACTCCCATAATAGGAAAAACAAATACCATGGAAGTAAATGGTTACCAGTTTTCAACATTTTCAAAATATCTTTTTGATTGAAAGTTGAGAGAAACTCAAACAGGTTTTTGAGCGGTGAAGGATCGGTAAATGATGACAGTATTTTCAGTTTTGAGTTAGCACCTAGACTGCAGCTCTGCACAAGATGTTTGGCCAGAGGATAAATGGTTGTGTCCAACTGAGCCTGGTTTCTTACAAGGGTTTGTTTCCTTCACTGTCGTCAACTGGTGAAGTTTGTTAATTGCCCCTCTCGCCACTGGCTTGCTTGGTTTGGGATTTGTGGAGCTGCACATCGATGGATTTGCTCTTTAGTGTTTGGACTTTCAGCAGCGAAAATTAAACACTGAACTAAACTGAACTTCAACTCTGAAAACTAGACTGACACACTTTCAATTCACTAGAACTTCTATGTTAAGCTACATAGATATTTCTGTCAGGTATGAAATCCTGAACCTGTTGCTTGTACAAATAGTTCTTGAATAATTGAAAAATAATCTCTTTGATAAGCGTTTTCTTATTCAGCAGTTAAATGTGCATGTAGCCAAATTTCTTCAAGGTTTTAGATGCTCAGTTACCACTACAAAAGATCATAAATCACACCAACAGGTTATTTTCAATAAGATTTTTATCTACAAAATGATGAGTTTTACCCACTATACAGCTTAATTGCCGTTCAAGAATGTCACTGAAATTATAGGTGTAAGAAGCTCTCCCCCATAATTAACTGCAGCTTATCCATTTACCAATCTCATTACAATTTGAGGCAAGTCAGCTACTCTGTAAGAGCACATAAATAACCTCTTGAAAGAGCAGAATCATCCAGTATATCAGCTGCCTGCTGCTAGTGTGGTCTCTCATTCCCTCTGAGACTTATTAAGCAACAATTACACTTGTGTGTGTGTGTGTGTGTGTGTGTGTGTGTGTGTGTGTGTGTGTGTGTGTGTGTGTGTGTGTGTGTGTGTGTGTGTGTGTGTGTGTGTGTGTGTGTGTGTGTGTTCTTGATGGTAACAGTTGAAGCTTTGTACACTTACAAGAAAAAAAAAACAGTTTTGCACATTTGGTCAAACTTGATTTAAGAATAAGTGCATGGGAAAAGATTCAAGTCTGATTCAAATACAAACCCTCTTCTCCACTATATGGTCTTTAATGCTTTAAGCTATACTGTATATTCTTCCATCAACCTGCTTGACTATACAACAAGTATTAGCTCCCTTTTGCTCTGTATGGTTTAATATAAGCCAATTACAATTTAATCTATTAAATGTTGCAGTATCTATTTGCATTCAACATTTTTAAATAGTTTAAATTCTATTAAAGCCTTAGTTTACCCCCAAAATTACATTCTCTCTAAAATTTCAGGCTCTCATGTTGTTCTAAAAGACCTTCTTCTAAATAAATGTCTATCTTTTAGATGAAATTCTAGAGCTCAATCATTGTGGAGACATTTAAAGGCCAAAAAAGGAACCAAAAACATTGTCAAACTGACCGGTGGTTCAACTGTAATCATACACTGCTCCAAACAACACCTTTGCACATGAAAAAACAACTTTGTTTACATTTGTTTTCTCTTCTGCATCAGATCATGGTGCGTGTTCACTACGGGCAGTGCGCTGTATTGTTCTTAGAGTCAGCAGCGCAAAATAGTTGTATTTCCCATAGTAAATGCACACCATTATCTGATGCAGAAGTCATTTAAAAAACAAAAAGGTACAAAAGTGTTCTTGGAGCTTCGCATAATTACAAAGTCACATGGAATGCTTTTACAATGTTTTCATTTGCTTTGGCTGTCTATGGAGGATGAGAGAGCGCTCGGATTTCATCTAAAATATCTTAATTTGTGTTCAGAAGATGAACAAAGGGCTCAGGGGATTTTGATGAAATGAGAGTGAAATATTTAAAAACAGAACTTTAATTTATTTGGTGAACTTGTGCTGGTTCTTTAGGTTAAAATTCCTTTTAAAAATATACCAGTAAACATTAACTAGATTATTCATTGGCTGCTGGTTACTAGTGCTTATTGATTAGACACTGTCTTATACATAGACACTAGAAACTATTCATAACATATTAGTAGTCTAGATGCTCCAGTTTCTCCCACAATCCAAAGACATGTGCTATAGGTGAATTAACTAAATTACTAAATATAGGTGTATAATCTAAACTGGCCATAGTGTATTTGTGTGAATGTGAGACTGTATGGGTGTTTCCCCGTACTGGGTCGCAGCTGGAAGGGTATCCACTGTGTAAAACGTATGCTGGGTAAGTTGGCGGTTCATTCGGCTGTGGCGGCCCCTGACTAATAAAGGGACTAAGCCAAAAATAAAATAAATAAATGAATCAAACTGAACCCAAATAAATTGTTTACAACTATTTTACTAAAAGAAATGAGTAAATCCAATGAATCATCTTTGAATATCTTTTCAGTGCTAAATATACTAGTTATTTATTGAATACTAGTATATAAGTGTTACTAGTAACAATTCCTTTTTAGTCTTTTTTTTGGACCAATTTTATTAGTAACAACTGTATTTTAATTTTAAATTTACCAGTCTCAATAGAGTCACTATTAAAATATTTATTATCTAATTAATATGTACGACTACAAAGTTATATTAGTGTCTACTGAACAGTTATTGGATTATTGCATATCTGTTCAAGGAATGAGTATCAAGTTTTAGCCATTTTCTAATATTAAGAACTAGCTTCTAAAGAATAAATACTAATAACCTTTTAAAATTCTAAATCTGAAAAAATAAGCACAAGTAGCAAATGAAGAAGTACAGAGTGAAAAACATACAAAATATGACTACACTCTGTGATTGGGGTGGAATATTTTGTTTACATATTGGTACCTAAAGGTATATTCTATTGTAACTTTTGTCTAATAGATATGGATGACAGACTTGTGGACAGTGGGCTGATAAGTGTTGCACTTAGGGCATTCCAAGTCCCTTCACAGTCCAGCCACCAACCACCACCACCCAATTTCTCTCTAACTTTGCTTCTTGTTTGCTAACTACCCGATTATAAGTAAAGGAATGCTCCACTTTTTTGGAAATCACAAGAATTGAACATGAGTTAAACAGTTGAGGCAAGCTAAAATTGACCCTAGTGTGTGTGTGAATAAGTCTGTATAGATATTTCCCATGGGTTGCAGGCAGCTATAGAAGGGCATCTACTGCGTAAAACATATGCTGGATAAGTTTACGGTTCATTTCGCTGTGACGACCCCAGATTAATAAAGGGACTAAGCTGAAAATGTTGAGTTTTACCAATTTTGAATACATTTAGCCGATCTCCGGGTCTGGTGGCGTAATTTGCTACCCTACCATGGCTGCAGCAAGCTCAACAATAATGCACAGCATTGTTACCTAGCTGGGGAATATTTTCAGGTGCTGCATAATTTTATTGTGCATACTGTAGCCATGGTACATCAGCAATGTTCCACGATTATTATGATGGTAGTAGTTCTTACAACCTTATCAGCCTAAAATAGCAGCTTTTCACTTTCTGTTGGTTTTAGTACATGATGCAATAACGAGTCAAGCTTTGAATGGGAAAATTATCAAATCTCTTATTTAAAAAATTTTCTGAGCGAGATGCTAATGGTGTAATCTAAATAAATGATTTATGCAAAGCAGGCTTCACGGTTTCCCCCACAGTCCAAAGACGTGGAACAGGTGAATTGGGTTTGCTAAATTGTCCGTAGTGTATGAGTGTGTGAATGAGTGTGTGTTAATGTTTCCCTGTAATGGGTAGCAGCTGGAAGGGCATTCGCTGCGTAAAACATATGTTGAATAAGTTGGTGGTTCATTCCGCTGTGGTGACCCCAGATTAATAAAGGGACTAAGCCGAAAAGAAAATGAATGAATGCTAAGCTAAAAGTGCTCCTGCCAGACAGGGAGAGCAGCTGAACGGATTAAAAAATGTTAAAACTTAACTCTTTTAATTTAGGGGAGTTGTCTAATATCCAAAAAACATGGAGTGGTCCCCTAAGGCAAAAAAAAAAAAAAAAAAGACAGTGTCTTTTGAAGAGGTAGGCCTATCACTTCAGATACTGTAGCATCACCAATATCATTTAGTAACATATACTAATAGGTGTTATATATGTGCGTTAGATTAAATGTTGAAATAACTTGCCATATGTGGTTTTCCTCAAAAACTGTGCTTCGCTTTTAGGCTTTTTATAACTTCAATCAAACAAATTCATCTTACATTTCCCCAGGCAGCTCCTTGATCTTGATGGCTGAAAACTAATCTGATCTGCTATTTAAGTTCCGAGACCTCACAGAGCCAATGACATTCGTGGTACAATGAAGCTTATCTGGATTTAAAGAGAAACATTATGTGTTTATTTGTGTTAATAAAATAATCACTTCAGATAATTAAATAGATCAATTTCATGCTTATGAACATACACTCACTGGCCACTTTATTAGGCACACCTGTTCAACAGCTCTTCTAATCAATAATTTCTAATCAGCCAATCGCTTGGCAACAACTCAATGCATTTAGGCATGTATGGTGAAGACAATCTGCTGCAGTTTACACTGAGCATCAGTATGGGGAAAAAAGGTGATTTAAGTGACTTTGAACGTGGCATGGTTGTTGGTGCTAGACATGCTGGTCTTAGTATTTCAGAAACTGCTGATATACTGTGATTTTCACGCATAACCATCTCTAGATTTAGAGAGAATGGTCCGAAAAAGAGAAAATATCCCGTGATGGATCTATCCTGCCTTGTATCAACATTGCAGGCTGCTAGTGGAACCCAATTAAACCCATGCAGCAGTTGCTTTTGGTCCATTCAATCATTTTCTTTTCAGCTTAGTACCTTTATTAATCTTGGGCCACCACAGTGGAATGAACCGTTAACTTATCCAGGAAATGTTTTACGCAGTGGATGCCCTTCCAGCTGCAACCCATCACTGCATACACACATACACTACAGACAATTTAGCTTATCCGATTCACCTGAACCGCATGTCACGGGGAGAACATGCAATCTCCACACAGAAATTCCAACTGACCCAGCCGGAGCTCGAACTAGCAACCTTCTTGCTGTGAGGCAATTGCTGCGCCACCATACTGCGCATATTTTACCTATACATCAGAGTTGCTATACCTCGTTTTTATAGAGTAGGAGTGACAACACTATATATTTTATATCATAACTAAAGCAGAAAATACAAAACAATCAGTTTACATTCAGAGCTTTTATTTGGTTTGCTTCCTGGGACTGGATTCTTTCACAATATGAATCCAGCTCACACTCAAACCACTTTTACGGTACTTAAAGTAGCTCATACTGCACAAACATTGAAAAGCTTATTCAGCTTTCTTTCACAAAGTTTATTGACTGGAATAAATCCATACAGAAAAAAGTACATAAGACCAGGCACAGGATTAGAAATGCAAACATTCACTTATATAGAAATGGATAAAAAATAAAAACACAAGTATTTACATGTTGGAATTGTGCACTTCATAAATATGCTTCACCTAAATAAATCTTTTTGGCCATTTACAGTAGACACAACAGCACAAACCAGAAGAGTTATATAAACTTATCGATAACTTTAATAGACTTTCTTTTTTTCCAAAATATAAATAATATTTGTTGAACAGTTTTCAAAAATCGTGAGCATCAGTTGGTGTACAGTGAATGTATTTGGCAGTGAATGAAATCATTTTTGCATTGGCACTTTTTTGCCATACATATTGAATTTACAGAAGCAATCCTCAGTTTAACTGTGTAGTGCTGTTCCAAAACCAGGAAAAAAAATTAATTGACTGACTACATGACTCATGATTTACTGGAAAGCAAATGTTGTCATCACTTTTATTATCATCACTTTACATCAGAAAAAATAAAGAAAAAAGCAAACTGAGCTTTCGTGCAAAATTTTCGTGCAAAGGTTTTAAAGACAACACAATTTTGTATTTGAAATATGCATGCATTTAGGAACTTCATTAAATCTGAGAGATCATAGAAACTGTTTTGAGCAAAAACTGTCAAATGAATCGCCTCTGCCAGGATAGGTGCTTCAGTGCTAACAGTTTCAGATTGTTCAGTCGAGTTGTGACCCTTTTATTTTAGATTTAGTTTTTGAATACTATTGATCTTGTATTTAATTGAACTGTTAAATAATTAATTATTCAAATATTCTTACACAATGTTTCAGTTTTTATCATAATAGATTTTTTCATGAACATGATTTTAAAAGTGCCCTTATAATCTTTCATCAAAAAACATTTCTGACTTGCATTCCATCATGAAAGCTGGACAACAATCCATTGGGGTATATGCACACCTATTTTAATTTCAGTTAGCCAGCCACAATGCTTTTGGTTAATTGTCATCCTATACAAAATTGCTGGGTTAAAGATCTGATTTCTTTAAAAACAAAAAACAGCTATCATCACTGCCTGGCTGATATGATATTAAGTGGACCAAACAAGAAGCACTGCATTAAATTCTGTTTTTCAGTGCCATGTCTTTAAAATATGGAAATTAATTTTACCCCAGTATTTTCAAAGGTTTTTTTTTCACTAGCCTGCTGCTAATGACGGCACCTGTGTTTAAACGGTTTTTCATCTATATATTCATTTTTCGTCTACAACATCGGTGCATTATAGGGGAACCTTATAAAATTGAAAATAGTCACATAAAGCTTTCCCCGGAAGTTCATCATTGGCTGAAAAACACTAGCTGTGCATAGAGCCCACTGCCTGTCAGTCCCGAGATCGTATCATAGAGCCATCTCACTGATCACAACAGAGAAAAAAATGTTCACATTCTCTGTTTCATTGCAACTTTAAAGATGCCAAGAAGAGGCTTTGTTATTTCAGGTTATTTCTTGGTTGTATAATTCCTCGTAAAGCAGATGAACTGGGTAAAAGTGTTCAATCACATGTGAAACATTTTTGGGGTTTTGCGAAATTTTGATGTAAAATATAAAACGTGATTATTTGATCACCTTTTTCTCTCTCTTTTTTTTTTACATGAAAATGTTCCAAAATCAGACATTTTGTTTACACATGGGACGAGCAGGAGAAATTGTGTAATAATGAATCATAAAAAGCAAATGAAGGGAGTGATGATTTTCTAGAGCATAGAAGATTACATATAGGGAACTCCAAATTTTTCCACATAAATTCTCCTCCAAACTCTTGCCCTTCTTCCAGACCCACAGACAGACTGTCTCCCTGACAGGCCTACAGTGTCTTATCCTGTTTCTGCGGCTGAGGAAGGCTGAGGTGCAGCTCAGGATACACCAGGAAGCCAGTGAAAGTGATATACTTGGCGTGATTACTGTAAGCCCCAAACCCATCCCTCTGGTGGCTGTAAAGCCACACAGTGTCTCCATCTTGCAGAGACAACATCAGACTCTGGCTCTGCAGGGCCTTCTCAGTGTCACTGTCATCGTAGATCATGGTCTGTACCTCCAAATGATTCTTCATCAGCTTCACTGACAGGGTCTTATGGGGCAGCTTGCCAGCATTGAAGGAGAAGTAATAGGCCCCCGCTACTCTGCATTTGAAAACACCCGAGCTCAAGTTGAAGTCGTTGCCGATGTTGACGAACTCTGTGTCAAAGATGATGGGCTGGTGCTCAGGGTGTCCTTGATCCACACCTACAATGCTTTGCGTGCGGCCCACTGAAAATGCTGACCTTTGGTCATCGTCTTCCTCCTCTCCATCTCTGCTGTCCTCCTCTTTTACCTCCTCGTCCCGTCTCTCCTCCTTCATACGCACAGCAGTGTCTTTGGTAATTGTATTTTCTTGCTCAGATGGCAAGTGATCAGTGATTTTCGGGGGCTGGTGTGCACTGTCGTGTTCTTTGTGTGTGTGCTCTTGGTAGCCATACACATCAGGGTAGATCAGGTAACCGTTGAAGGTGGTGTAGTGGCCCGTGTTGCTGTAGATGGCGTATCGAGGGTCTCCATGAAGACGAAGCCAGACCGTGTCACCAAAATCAAGCTGCAGCATGGCGCTCTGGCTCTGCACTTTCCGCTCTTCTCCAGCGTTCTCGTCATACACGATCGCCTGAACCTCATTGCGGTTCTTCATTAGCATGACCGACAGGTCTCGCCGGGGGAACTTACCCACTGTGAAGGAGAAATAGTAGGCACCTGGAATCCTGCAGCGGAACAAGCCAGACTTTGGATCAAAGTCACTGCCGATGTTGACGTACACTTTGTCGAAAGTGACGACCATTTTCGGGCCTCCCTCCATGCTGCTGGTACGTGCCACCGAGAATGCAGACCGCAGCTCCACGGCGTCCGACATCCGGGAGAATGCCCATGCGCTAGTCATATGACTCAGCACACACAGCAGCAGGGGCCTGGCACCAGGCAGCATTGTAACTGTGGAGAGAGGAAGTAAAAAAACAAAACAGCTCTGTTTAATATCGTCAGCCGAAGCCGTTAACATGAACACAAAACTCTTTAGCGGAGTCTTATTTCAATGCTCCACTTTCACTTGAGCTCGCAAATGATAGCTGCTGCTCGTTACCAAAACATCAGCTCAAAAAAAAAAAGAGCAATCATTATGCATACAGGCGCCAGCGGGAGGTGGGATCAAAACAGAGCAGATCAGTGCCTTTAGTAGATACAGCAGGATGAGAGCTGTATTATCAGACCCTCTCTCTTTTCCCCTGAGATAAGCAGTAATAGGACACACACTGGATCAGCACATCACAGCCCAACACTGGAGGTGACAGAAATTTCAGACCTTTTCTGCACAGCATTCAAAGGGGTCCCAACCCCATACCCCAACACCAATCATTCAACCTCATCTACTCCAATCACAGCAAACAATACAAGAGGGCTACAAAATATTAAAAAGCATTTTATTTAAATCAGAAAATCCGCTGCACTGTGACCTCATTTTGCTGCGATTCATCGGACGGTTCCTATTAAATGGTATGAGAGACTAGAGTGGGTTGGATGGTGATCGTTATAAATTTGCAAACAAGTGCAAATGAGAGCAGGCTACATTCAGCACCTCATATTATGACGCAGATATCACCAGCCCTGCTCACGCACATCTACCAACCACTGGAGTGTGTGCCTGAGGGGAGAGCAGAGTATACGGGATATTACCAGGACACCTGGTGACTACTGTCAATACACACTGCTGTTAAATATTCTTCATAGCGTTTCTCCCTCTGTGAAACCAGTTCAACAAATTCACATTCAAAGAGGTTCATTATTGAGCATCACAGCCGGACTGCATCTGTTCCTGTTTTACTGCGTTTTACTGAAACAGTCGCCCACAGTAAACTGCAATGCTGTGTTTTCATATTTCTTTCTCCTTAATAGGCTTTAAACGCCACAATACACAGATTATCCTGTTGACAGTGCCGCCTGTATGAATGAAGACACGAAACCTTAAATCGGCTGCTTCCGTGGGATTTAATGATGGATGGAGCTCATCATCCCTCTGCCACAGTGATATGTGGACAAAAATAAAAAGGGAATGAAATGCAAAGAGGTTTTTGCTCTTAATGAGATCTCCTGAGATACCAGAGAAGTTGGACTTCTGTTGGATGGAACACTGAGCTAAGCCATGCTAAAAATAGAGTGCCCGCTCTCTCTGTTTTTGTAGAGTTTACGAATATTCATGCGAAACGCTTGAGTAAATCATGGAGCTAGTTGGATTAAGAGTTTACAAACATTTGATCATTTGAACAGCAATTAAACAATTGTTTAGCAAAATTTTACTGCTGATTGCATAATACCTTAACAAGTCATTTTGTAGAAAATATTAAGTAATGTAACCACTAACCAGACAGCTTAAGTAACGACAACAATATAATGTTTTCCTCCAGTTGTTTGATCTCTATTTTTAGCCGAGAGATGCTTTCATGAACACAGGGGAGGGAGACATCAATATTTGTCAATCCTTTCTTGTGTTTCCAGCTACACCTTTTTCTACAACTAATGCTGAACTGTACCATTTCCTCAGAGAATGCATGAAGTAAAACCTTCTGCTCAGCAAAGCAAAAACACAAAATGTCTACATGTAAGAGCTACGTCTAAAAAATCCCTACAAGTGATTTTTAATGAATTGAAACACCTTAGCTGGCTATAGGCTTTGTTAAAATGTGTCTAAAATTGATTCGAAATCTAAAATGACCTATGCAGATCAACTGCTTGCGCATTAATTAACACTTAGTCTTGTATCTTCATTCCTGTTGCACTTAAATGACTGCCTACTCTCCACAAAATGAATGGATTTGATTGATCACTGTCCTCTATGCAAATATAACCCACTTCTCTGATGATGCTAATGGCCATGCAGTGAAATCTTCTGTTCTCTCTTCACTCTCATGTTAATTAGCTTTTAATATTTTGCATCTCATTCAAAATGGCTCTCTTAGGGAATTTTCACACCAAGACAAATATTTTAATTTGAACGAAGATCTATTAATGTACCCTTTTTAGACTGACATGGAAATTCATACTGTCATAGCCGATTTTCTCCCCCAGAGAAAAGTTGTAATTTCTGATCCATTGCAACTTGAAGAAAATTAATTTTGTGCTTATGGTCATGTTCCCATACATGCTGCTGTTACATAAAACTATGACTAGGGCAGCAGACGGGGACAGGGAGTACTGAAGAGATGACGTCAAACCCCAGAAGACCACTGATTTCCACCTGAGATCTTCCTGTGGGGTTCATAATAGGGAGAATTTAAGTTTAAAACCATAACTTTACAATGTATTTACACGTGCACAAATGAAAAGACGGTCATTTTTTTGCAGCTGTTTTGTTTAGCAAAAGTTGTTTACCAAAGATACAAACAAAAGACAAAAAAAAAAATGTTAGTGAAGGCACCAGTGGTGAATTAAGTCTTTCTTCTGATGGTTTTAATGCCATTGCCTATAACGTTCTACAGTAGCATAACCTCTTTTCCATAGTAACGAATGTGTGCTGCCACGATGGACTAATGTCCTTTTTATTGCTGTATAAACTCTGTTATAAAAAGGTATGTTTTACATGCTATACCAAAAACTAGAGGTGCACAATATTTCGATATCGTAATATACAGTTAAAATCAGAATTATTAGCCCCCCTTTGAATTTTTTTCTGCTTTTAAATATTTCCAAATGATGTTTAACAGAGCAAGGACATTTTCACAGTATTTCTGATAAGATTTTTTCTCCTAAACAAAGTCTTATTTGTTTTATTTTGGCAAGAATAAAATCAGTTATTATTTTTTTAAACATCATTTAAAGGTCAAAATTATTAGCCCCTTTAAGCTATAAATTTTTTTTCCTATAGTCTACAGAACATACCATCATTATACAATAACTTGCCTAATTACCCTAACCTGCCTTTAAATGTCACTTTAAGCTGTATAGAAGTGTCTTGAAAAATATCTGGTCAAATATTATTTACTGTCATCATGGCAAAGATAAAATAATTCAGATATTATAAATGAGAAACTATTGTTTAGAAATGTGTTAAAAATACTTCTCTCAGTTAAACAAAAATTAGGGGAAATAATAAAATTGGGCAAATAATGCAGGGGGGCAAATAATTCTGACTTAAACTGTACGTATCTACAATAGTCACATTGCAGGATGTCCAATGTTGAGTTAGGATTATAGTTGTCCAGGATCCACAATTTAGAATACAGGAGATATATGGGATCAATGCAGAGTTAATAATAATAATAAAAAAGTGGTAGTTTTTAACTTGGATTTGTTTTTCAGTCATGTGAGAGCATTTGATTTAACTTTTTATACTATAAAGACATATGTGCTGTTATTTAACATTTGATTAATCGATTTTTGTTCACCTGAATACTGGTAAACTCCACAGAGAACCACAAAGTACTGTTTATTCCATTTGTGTCTTTGCTCTGCTGTATTAATTTATGCTTGTAATTTGTTTGTTATCTATTATGCAGATGCACTCCCATACAAAATCATTCCAATCAATGTAAAATTATGAATTGTTTCCAAACAGAGAAATACAAGCCATCTGTTATTGTATCGCAATATATATATATGGCAGAAAAGCTAAATATTGCAATATCAGATTTTCCTTATCATGCAGCCCTACCTAAAACCAACAAGAGAAAACATGCATTGATTGCAGCACTAAAGTGAAAAGAAGTTATATATATGCTCTAATTATTTTGAGCACAAACCTTCTAAATGTCTCCCCAATTGGGAGCTGCATGTAGGACATGAGTGCCCATCTGTTTACCGTGTAGTTAACCTCAGGCTGTTTCATCTCATCCACCCACTCATTACACTTTGACAGGTGAGATATGCTTATATGTGTGTTTTAAATATAAATGTAAATAAGTTTAAAGTTACATTATGGGATCACATAATCAGAATGTAAACGACAGAAAAAAGCATATTAGGGGTAAGTTTCAGGTTAAGACAAGGTGGACAGCAGAAGAACGTTATGTGTATCAGGAGACTTTTGCTTTTCTAAACACACCACCTTTTGTCAAGAGAGTGATTTATTTTCATTTTCAATCAGACTGTCTAATATGTTTAATGCACTGGTCTGAATACACACTGCATGGAAAGATTTGACCAAATATTTATTAATATTAAATATTAATATTCAGTATTTGTCTGGTTGCCAAAAGTCAATGCTGGCATAAATAGTTAAAGTAACCTTGCATGCCGGAAACAACAAGATGCATTTATAGTTCTCTGAATTGCACTTTTATGTGTACACTCACCGGCCACTTTATTAGGTACACCTGTCCAACTGCTTGTTAATGCAAATTTCTAATCAACTGAAAACATGGCAGCAACTCAATGCATTTAAGCATGTAGACATGGACAAGATGATTTGCTGCAGTTTAAACTGAGCATCAGAATGAAGAAGAAAGGTGATTTAAGTGACTTCGAATGTAGCATGGTTGTTTGTGCCAGATGGGCTGGTCTGAGTATTTCAGAAACTGCTGATCTACTGAGATTTTCACGCACAACATCTCTAGGGTTTCCAAAGAATAGTTCGGAAAAGATAAAATATCTAGTGAGTAGCAGTTCTGTGGGTACAATTGCCTTGTGGATGCCAGAGGTTGAGGAGAATGGCCAGACTATGTCAAGCTGACAGAAAGACAACATTAACTCAAATAACCACTCGTTACAATCGAGGTGTGCAGAAAAACATCTCTGAACACACAACACGTCCAACCTTGAGGCAGATGGGCTACAGCAGCAGAAGACCACACTGGGTGTCAATCCTGTCAACTAAGAACAGGAAATTGAGGCTACAATTTGCACAGCAAATGTACCAAAATTGGACAATAGAAGATTGGAAAAACGTTGCCTGGTCTGATGAGTCTCGATTCCTGCTGCAAAATTCATATGGCAGGGTCAGAATTTAGTGTTAACAACATGAAAGCATAGATCCATCCTGCTTTGTATCAACAGTTCAGGCTGGTGGTTTGTGGTGTAATGTTGTGGGGGATATTTTCTTGGCACACTTTGGGCCCATTAGTACCAGTTGAGCATCATGTCAATGCCACAGCCTACCCGAGTATTGTTGCTGACCATTTCCATCCCTTTATGATCACAGTGTACCCATCTTCTGATGGCTACTTTCAGCAGCATAACATGCCTTGTCTTAAATCATTTCAGACTGGTGTATTGAACATGAAAATTAGTACACTGTACTCAAATGGCCTCCACATTCACAAGTTCTCAATTCAATAGAGCACCTTTGGGATGTAGTGAAGTGGGAGATTTGCAGCATGCATGTTCAGTCGACAAATCTGCAGTGACTGCGCGATGCTATCAAGTCAATATGAACCAAAACCTCTGAGAAATATTTCCTGTACCTTGTTGAATTTATGTACGGGAACGAAGCATAGGATTAAAGCAGTTCTGAAGACAAGAAAAAAAAGGTCCAAACCGGTACTAGTAAGGTGTACCTTATAAAGTGGCCGGTGAGTGTATATTCAAGCTTCTTTGACTTTTCATGATAATACAATTAGAAAGAACTGTATTATACTATAAACAATTTGTAGATTCACAGTACTATTTTAATTAAATTCATCTTCCTCTACGACATATTATACTGGACAATAATAGGTCCCCTCCTGCAATCTGTCACTCACACTAAATAGCAGCAATTAGTAAACAGCAATGATCCAGTCATCCAATCAGTTCCACACCAAGACACACATACATTGTTTCTTACTCTTTATTGTTTCTTGATTTTCACCCATGTTCATCCCAATAGAGAAAACCCCTATTTCCACTTCATGCAATCTTTAAGATACAAGTGACATGAACACCTCATTTTCATCACAGAGACTTTAGTTATAGCACTAGTTTGTAAATACACGCAGAGGCACCAAAAGACATTTCTCCACAGACTAGACCTCTCACAACAAATATTTCTTGTAGTGTAATATATTGTAACAGAACTTCTTTTTCGATACCTGTAAGTGATATTGTCATTTTAAGTCACTGAATAGTGATTATACAACAGCATTATAATGCACAGATTTATTTATTTATTTAGATTCTGTAATATGATATAAAAAATAATAAAATTGTAGAATGTAAATCGTTTTTACGTTATTGGTGAATGTGTGAAATTTTGAACTGTCACATTTATGGAAATGGAAGTAATTTGGACAATTTTCATCCACACGTCAGTAGTTTTCATGAAATTGTGAAAATTCACCATTTCTACACCTGTAAGTAATCGTTGAATGTAAAAGAGTTAACTGAGCTCACTGACATCACCATCAGAGATCAGAGACTACTAAGACTTTAGTGGCATTCATTTAATTCTAAACATGATTGGCGATGCGGCAGCATGGTGGCGCAGTGGTTAGCCCTGTCGCCTCAAAGCAAGAAGGTCGCTGGTTTGAGTCCCGATCACTGCTAATTGGCATTTCTTTGAGGAGTTTGCAAGTTGTCCCCATGTTTGTGTGGGTTTCCTCCATGTGCTCCAGTTTCCCCCACAGTCCAAAGACATGCACTATAAGTGGACAGAATGAACTTAACTGGCCATAGTGTATGAGTGTGCGTGAATGCAAGAGTGTACAGTTGTTTCCCAGTACTGGGTTGCAGCTGATAGGGCATCTGCTATGTAAAACATATCCCAGAATAGTTGGTGGTTCATTCCACTGTGGCAACCCCTGATAAATAGGGTAAGCCGAAGGAAAATGAATGTCAGGGCGATGTATTGCATCAACATATAGATTACTGCTACAGACCTACCACGGACAGACACTATGCGGCCAACAGAACTCATAAAGCTTCTGCTGACAGAGCAGATGCATTACTGATAATGGTGAGTATAATATCACAGGAAACACTAGCATCCATCAACAAGAGCAAGAAGCAAAAATGGGATTGCAGGTAAACGGGAATGGACACACTCGGCCTCAGTTTGCTAGTGAAACTCCACTCAGCGTGTGAGGGCCAGCGTGTTTGACATGACTGTGGTGTTTAATGAGAATCTGTGGAGTATCGGCAGACGGTAAAGAGCGCAGAGCTTGTGAGCGTGTGCTCCAGGGCCCAGTTATCTCTCTCTCTCTCTCTCACTTTCCCTAACAGCCTTTGGTACCACGCTCTGATACTGCCACTTTCACTGAACCATTCAGCCAAATCCGAACACACACACCCTCTATTCTGACAGCGCACTCGAAACTCACAGACAAAGGGTAGGATAGAGGTACTGGAGATGAGGGAAGAAAAGGATACGGTTTTAAGTGTCAAAAGAAGAAGCACAACAGAAGACAGATGAAAAACAAGTGAGGAGCTGTTTAAATATTGTGACGATGACAGTCACAACTCTGTGTGCGTAATGAGGGCTTGAACCCGACAGCTGGCGTCTCCTGAAACTCCCAGCGATAGACGTAATCAGTCATTCCCCGCACTTACAGCATTCCATTAGACTACTAAGTGGTTGTAAATTGAACTAGTATCAATTTGAATATTTTTCATGCTTGAGTATTTCATTGTGTAATCTGCAGCAGATGAATTAAATAAAGTTGTGTAACGGCGCTGCTCTCCTGCTGCCCTATTTGTCTGTGTATCTGTGTGTGTGTGTGTGCGTAAATCTGTCATCTGTGACATGGGTAATGACCCAGCGTACCAACAACCTGCTGCCAATAAAAACAAAACAACACCTCTTCTGTCAGACTACGGCAAAATGCGTCATGCACGAGGTATTGTTAAAATACACGTACATAATAACACGTCTCGCTGCATCTCAATGCAACAAGCAAAAAAAATACTGCATTTAAAATGGTAAACAATTATTTACAGTAATTATGCTGTTTACATCAGATAATAATGTAAACACAGTAACATCAGGGATGTGTGCATCCAATTAAACATGTTGTGGTTATGATTTAAGCATAATTAGCGTTTCATTTACAATGATCCCTGCACAGATTTGACTGATGCTGTGAATGCAAGCGCATACACTCAGTGTCTGAACCGTGCCATGGAAATGTGCAATACTCCATCCGCTATCTTAACCTACATGCCAAGATCTATAAATAGATAAACCGTTTTATTAGGAAGCCATCTAGTCATTCCATACAATTTTAATGAGTTTATCTGCGTAAATATTCACTTTGACCGGACAGCAGGCAGCTTCTGATTCGGCACGCACACATATGCGCAAGCTGAATGGGCTTTTAGAGTCTTCGGGGAAATCTCCCTGGCAGTGCAGATCCGTATCAGATCACTATCAGCACAAAGAGCCTCTCTCTGTCTCTCCCTTGCTCACGCTGTCCCGAGGTGATGTAGATATGAGTGAAGAAAGCGTACGACCTGGCTTTGTCGCTATCAACCCCACGTGTGCTGTTTTCAAAGCATTCAGCCAGAGAGGTTTACCTCGGTTGCAGTTCTGCTCTCTGCTGCGTTCAGCAATCGCAACGTCAGCATCAGAGAGAACCGGAGAGCATCATCACAGAAGTAGATCAATTCCCATTATCTCATACCAGCGGAAAAATGTGAGCGGTGGCATTACGGCACAGAGAGGTACAAGAGCGATCAGGCAAGTTTGCACCTCTGAGAGTGTTTACGCCGATCAGATAAAAGACGAATACAAAGCACTGGGCTGGATCGCCACTGCATCACAAGACAGAAAGAGATAAAGAAAGCTGGTCCTCGTGCTGTTCTTCTTACCTGTGTGTTTAGATCTGCAGGAAGCGCTCTTGAAGTTCTCTCAGAGGTCTGAATGGAGGAGTGCCTCTTTCTCTTTTTCTTTCTCGCCCTTTATTCTTTTCTTCTCTCTTGCTTCCTCTGTGTGTCAGCTCTCAACCTGCTGCTGATGTCTGGTGCAGCACACACCCACACATTCAAGCGCGCACACTCACACACACACACTCTCCAATACAGTCATTGGAGGATTTAAGAGCAATCGGGGTGCTGCAAGCTGATTGGGGGGCTCTGGAGCAGACGAATGAACAGCCGTTCTACAAGGTCTATCAATAGGGAGACTCCGGGGGGTTTTGCCTGTGTGTTTATCTGTTTAAGAGAGAGAAAAACATGATGCATGATCTCTTATGATCTTATTACGTCAACATGCATGCGCTTTGTCAATATGAGCACAGCTGGTTTCAGTAGTCCCACATATGCCAGTGTGTTTATCACAAGATCCAATGGCAATGGCACAGTAATAGACGCAGGCTTTGGTTTTGCCACAACAATTGTGGTAATTTCACACCTCTGCACATAATCATAGTCATTACCTTAGAGTCCCACAGGAGAGACATTTTACACAGATGCATTTCTTAGGTCTTGTTGGTTAACGCATTAACAATAAGAAAGCCTTTTGATTTAGTGTTTATAAATATTTGTTTCCTTTATTATTTTATTTTATTATTTTATTTAAGTGTGCCTGTTGATTATTGGTTAAAGTTCAAGAGTATTACATAATATTAAAATCTACATATGCGTCAGTTAATTTTGTGTTACTAAATGTTTAATTTAACACTAGGCAAGAAAAAAAAAAGATAGGATATTGAATTATTAGATTAAATTTGTAAGTCCTAGCTGCCTCACCACCTTATTGGTGCATCGTTTTACTAATGATTGAACCATCCAGTGGTCATTATTCCGGGCAACACGGTCGTTCGGTGATTAGCACTTTTGCCTCAAAGCAAGAAGGTCACTGGTTTGAGTCCCGGCTACGCCAGTTGGCATTTCTGTGTGGAGTTTGCATGTTCTCCCAGTGTTTGTCTTGGTTTCAAGTTCAAAGACATGTGCTACAGGTGAATTAGGTACACTACATTGGCAGTAGTGTATGAGAGTGTGTGAATGAGTGTGTATGGATGTTTCCCAGTACTGGGTTGCAGCTGGAGGGGCATCATCAGTGTAAAACCTATGCTGGAATATTTGGCGGTTCATTTCACTAAGGGAATAAGCTAAAGGAAACTGGATGAATGATGCCTCATTCACACTAGCAGCGAATCTGTAGCTGCCTGAGGGTGGCGACGTGCTGCAAACGCAGGGCTGTGTGGGTCTACAGCACTGAGAAAACAACTGGCCTCTGAGCGGGCTGAGAGAGAATCCCATGAGCTCTACTGCTGCTCCTATTGGCTGTCAGTCAAGAAAGTAGCTCTTCATTTGCATAAAGTTGAAGGACTCTCAATTTGTTGCATCGCTAGACACGCCCACCTGGTCGCCTCATTTACACTTCGAGCGACTCACAGCGGCAAAGCGACCATTAATTTCAATGGAGAGTGAGCTACTTCCAACGACCTCTGTCTATGCAAGCGACAGCGACCGCTGGTGACTAGGTGGGCATATCTATCGATGCGACAAAGTAGAGAATTCTTCAAGTTTTGACTTTATTAAAGCGACACCCGTAGAGCTACACAGACCTGCGTTTGCAGCAGGTCGCCACACAGAGCATCAGGCAACTACAAAGTTGCTGCTAGTGTGAATGAGGCATCATTCATCCACTTTCCTTTGGCTTATTCCCTTAGTGTGTGAATGAATGGTTATTGTTCTATTAGTCCAGATTTCATTGATTTCTTTATTCATCCATTCCTTCTTTTTTCCATCTTAATCCCTTTATTAATCTGGGGTCACTACAGACGAATGAACCACCAACTTATCCAGCAAACATGTTTTATGCAGCGGATGCCCTTCCAACAGCAACCCATCACTGGGAAACATCCATACACACCCATACACTACGGACAATTTAGCTTACCCAATTCACCAGTACAGCATGTCTTTGGACTTGTGGGGGAAACCACAGCACCCAGAGGAAACCCATGCGAACTCCACACAGAAATGCCAACTGACCCAGCCAGAGCTCGAACCAGCTACCTTCTTGCTGTGAGGCAATTGCGCCACCATGCTTCCCTGATCTCTGTTTCTAATTTCAGAACATTAGCTTGTAAAATTGAGTCATTGATCATTACTGTGTTTGTTTCTGCCTTTGTGTGACAAAGAGAGAGACCAAGAGAACCTGCGCACCATAAAAAATAAAACATAAATTGTGAGGATTGATTCGAGAGCTATGGGAACGGAGTGAGGCTGGTGGTGCGGGTGATAATGAGTGTCAGGCTGTGCACCACACCGGTCTTATATCCCACGGAGAAGCTCCAGAAGGATAAAAGGAGGTGCAACGACAGAGGAAGATGAGAGAGGATCAGGCATGAAAAACATGATGTGTGTTGTGAAATGATTTACCTGTTAAATTTTGATTATTGTTATTTTTTGATTAACAAAAATTTCTTTTGATTTATTGATTTTTTTAAATTGATTTATTTTATAAAAAGTGTAAAACGTTTTTCTTTTATCCAAATAAATACAGTTACAGTGAGCAAAAATGGTAATATTTTGTGAATTTATACAGATGTTTAATATAATACTTTAAATGATCAGTGTTTTTTAGGATTGAGATAATTTGGCAATATGCATTGATCTCTAACGAAGTCAAGAAGACCTGTCTGCCAAGCTACATTAATTCTTTCCTTCTGTCTCACCAATGTGCAACAGATGCAAGATAGCAGAGGGCATGGTTGCTCACGCCTTTAGGCTCTGTCCCTTACTGAATAGATTTTGGACAAAAATATTTGACTGACCTTTTCCACCAGATGCTGAACTTGCTTGGTCTCTCACAAAATACACCTTTTCAACCTCAAACAATACAAAAGTATTTAAAGCTGTCACGTTCATCAGCAATCTAAAGCACCATAGATCGTTGGGATACACACAGATCACATAGGACTACAAATCTGCGGGTTTTTGTACTACAGATCCTAGTCATGCAACACACACACTCACCTACTCCAAGTCACCATTGATTAGACACTCACAGCTGAAGCTGCTTTTGGACTGATCACTGCACTCAGCTGTTGCTGAGTCTTGTTATCTGTTAGACATAACGTGTTATCTTTGTCTTGCTTTGCTGTGTTTTTGACCCTCGCCTTGCCTTGTTTAAGTTGTCCGCTGCCTGCCTTGTGACTATCTGCATGTTATTTTGACCACGACTCCGGATTGCCCTTGCCCTCTGTTTGCTCCTGTGTTGATCATTGCTTGCCTGACCATCTCTATCTCAATAAACCTACATTTGGATCCGCACCCCTGTTGTCAGTGTCACATCCCTGGTTACAAACGCAAGGCTTGATTGTAGCTAAAAGACTAGTGCTTAACAATTGGAAATCACCTTAATCCCCCTCATTCCAGAACTGGATTTCGAACATGATATCTGTTATTCAGATCGAGAGACTTCGATTTTTAAGGAATTGCTCCATAAGAAATATTTTGTCTAATTGGGGTCAATTTCCTGACTTATTTGACAAATCTATAACTCATAAGCAAACCATATATATATACCGGTCACTATTGTTGCCATCAACATGTTTACTCCAATTGACCACACAAAAAAGTTAATAATTTTTCATTCATGTATTACAATTTGACATCTTAAAGATAATATGTACAATATATATATTCTTATAATATTTCAGCTCAAAACTGGATTAAAAATTTAACAAGCTGACTAAGCATATCCACAGCTAAAAATCAGTTTATAAAGGCCTTCATAGTAATTTGATCCCAGTCCTGCTATGGACGCTAGCTAAACTTCATGAAGCTTAAATTCTGAATAACTATTAAACATTATTTAAAGAGACAGCTGATTCAACAGTAAAGCCTAGTGTACTTATTGTTTTTAATAAATAATAAACATTATTTATATTATACATTTTCACGGTGCTCCTAAAATTCTTTGATGTGCTCCTAAATTTTTCAACTTAGTAGCAGATGTGCTCCTTCTTAAAAAAGTGAGCATCAAGCCCTGGTATAAAACCATATATATTAAGCCTTAAAATAAAGTTATAAAGAAAAAGAAGACCTGTCTGGAACCACTTGATCTGTGCATTTACTGGAAAAGGAATGAAAACTCTTTGGGGATTCTCAGTTGAACAGAATCAAGTATAACCAAGAGTAATACAACTTAGGTATTTAACTTTCTACTATACTGTGAAGCAATAGCATTTATTTTGATGATTTGAATTTGAACACAAATGGCTTGTTTTGCCCTCTGTGTCTGTTTCTGTGTCTTTCTCTTTCACTCTCTCTCTCTGCAGGCACCATATGGACTGGGTCTATGTTCCTGTTTGCAGCAGTGCCCCCCCCATCCTCCCCATCCTGATCGTTCTGGCACTGAACAGATTAATCTGTTTCCATAACACTCATTCTGCTCCTCTCTCATTGTTTGCTAGGATGATTGCTTGTATCTACTCTGGAAAATGAGCATTTGGGACGATAATAGCTATATTTAGTTATTATACAGTAGGGTCTTCTTGCGTAATTGATTTGAAGGTGTTCATTCGGATGTGAAATTGAATCGCTCGCTTTTAAAGTGCAAAAGGCCGCCGCAGTCTGGAGGATTTCTATGACTTTCACATGGGTCATGTGGTAAGATGAGCTCTCGCTCTCGTTCCCACTCCTCCTGTGACTCAGTGCTGCTTGAAATGAGCATCTGAAGAAAACAGGTGGCTCAAACCCGTCCTCAAGCAGACTCGGCCGTGAAGACTAAACTGAAATGCTATTATGATGAAAGACTCTTTTCTGAACTTCAGTCGCAGCCACTTTAAAGCTCCTCAGCCATCGAGGCTGGCCAGTCTGAGCTCTTAATTGAACCCATTCGCTGGAGCAGGTGTTTATACAGCGATATCATTCTAACTGTCAAACTAGAATCATTCCCCTTTATTATTTCCCCTTCCGAATTGATCTGTGAGCTACACTGACAATATTGTCCTAATGTAAACTGCACTGATGAATCATTTTTGCTTAATTAATGT